TTAAAAAAAACCGAGCTCATCAATTGTCCTATTTTTTATATACATGTTATAATGATACTGGGCAATGTAAATAAAAAAGAGTTATATATTTCATATATAAATATCAGATGCATTTTGTGAAAAAAAAAATCTCAGATAGGCAAGTTTGTCCTCTATGTTTCCCGAAGTATCTGAAATTTGACGAAATTCCACTAGAATTCAGGAATTTCATTAAAATGTCCTACTTAAGAACCCTCTTGTGGCCTCCTCGTACACTTTGAACCAAAATTAGTGTTGATTTTAAAACAAGCATCTGTTCTTAACTATAAACTATAACAATATCAACTGTGTTTTGAATTTTATTTCAAATAAGGGGGCAAATTCCACCGTAACCATACCTTGTCCTTTAATATCTTGCGATTGGTCATCACAAAAATTCTTTGTTAACAATCATTCTGATTCTATATACAAGTACTCTGGAGTTGATATTACAAACTAAAGGTGCTAGAGTTCCTGATTGACACATCTATGTAGTCTTTGGAGACCAGGTCTTCCAACAATCTTTTGTAATTTTGATGAGAAAAAGTCGTACTCCTTTATTAGCCGACCTGTTTTTTTTTTTTTTTTTTTTTATACTCCTATGAAGCAGAGTTTATTCAAAAACTTCTACACGAGAAGAACAAATCATGCTGTGGTCTTCAGCTCAACATTTAGATATACTAGTATATATCGACAATATTTATCAATTAACAATAGTTACTCTCATTCATATGTCGACGATATATCCCAGTGAACTCGAAATATAAGACACTAGAGAGTCTGCCACATCATATTCATATTTGGATGTTTTACTGACTATAGACGATGAGGGCCAACTAATAACTAAACTGTATGATTTCAGCTTTTCCATCGTCAACTTCCCTTATTTATGACGTAATATTCCAACATTACCTGCATATGGTGTTTATATCTCCCAACTGATTCGATACGCAAGATCAATTTTTAAACCGAAGCAAACTACTGATAAATAAGTTGATGTTGCAAGGATTTCAACAACCTCGTTTAAAGCCAGCTTTTCGCAAATTCTACGGTCGCTTTAATGACCTTGTTTGTAAATACAACCTTTCATTGGGTCGTATTTGTCTGACATGTTTCATACTATTTAGGTCGTTGCTTTTATAATAAATTTGACTTCGGAGTATATCGTTTACCTGATCAATACATGCCGTTCTGAAATCCCTCCCAATTTTATTTCGTCATTTTCATGCTAATAAACATTGGTATCTAAGGCAACATTGAAAGAAATTTGATTTTTCTAAGATTTTTTTTGTACTTTATGGGGTGCGAATTTCTACTATTTATAAGACCGTTTCTAAGACTTCAAAGAACCTTGAATCATATTAAGATGCATGAAATGAAAATTGTTGCTCAAAAAAAAATTCAATTTCAAGTTATCCTTAAATCTAAAATTCATAATATTCCTAATTTCCATATAAGCCATTTTGAAAGGTAAAAACCTCTTGAACCTAGCTATCTGATAGGTGAGCAGTCATATTCCTATCTCAGGACCGTCAAAGACATATAACTGGTGATATCTATCGTTTTTGAAAAAGGCGGGGGGGGGGGGGGGCAGCCATAGAAAAATTGTCAACTTACCTGTAAAAAGTTTGATAAGGAAAATTAAAAAAGAAATTGTCCAACCTCGAAAATCCTATTTCCTATGTGTTTCTGTGTGTGTGCGATTTGTGTGTGTGTGTGTGTGTTGGGGGGGGGGGGAGGTGGTATTAGGTTCCAACTTCTTTCACAACCAATTTTTATTCATACATTACAACAATACCCCAATTTGAATAAACTGCAACAAAAAAGGGGGCAACCAGCCTTTCAATGAACATTTTCAAAAGTTAAAGGTTATGTTTGAAAAGAAGTAGGTGGGGGGGGGGTGCCCCCCCCCTACTACTTGCCTATTTCATTAGATTTAAGAGTGATATATTATATAACAAAAGTCTGGGAAGGCCGACAATAGAGACAGCATGTATGACAAATGCACGCTCTTCATTATAAATAAACCGACCATGATCTGTTTCAATTCTAAAGAAACAGTTATCACTTTTTCCAAAAAAAAAAAAAAAAAGATAACCCTAAATTGAAGTTACAATAAAGCTCATAATGACTTTCATAAGAAATATGTATATATCTTTAAACACACCTATATATCATTTCATGTGATGGTAGTCATAACGGAACCTCGGTTGAAGCTGTTTTTCCATCCTCAATTCAACTTCATGCTCACCATAAATATATCTTTTGAAAAACCCTTTTTTAGAGACATGTCATACAAGTATGGTTAATCAAAAGAATGAAAAATCTACATTAATTACTTCTTTAAAATTCTTTAATAAATTGTGCAAAGGGCAATAACTCTTATGCTTGTTTCTTTATTATACTATTAAATTGTAAAATGGTTTCTCTAATATACAAAATTTGTTCACATTTATATGATAATAGTTATTTATGACATTCAATAAGAAAATTATGTCCTTGGACCAGTTTTTATGCAATTTTATCTATGCTGTTCACCAAATATGAGCGATTTTCTTATGCTTAGATACGCTAGCTTAGGCCTGTTAATTATACCCCCGCTTGAAAAGCGGGGAGGTATAGTGATGGTGTGTCAGTCCGTCCGTCTGTCCGTTACGCTTTGGGTAACCCATCTCTTATCCGTAACTCTTATACCACTGAATAAAATCTAATGATTCCTTCACAGAATCTTTATTACATAACGCCATTGTGCACCTCCTATTTTATTTTTTGATCTGACACTTACTCCTCCATGGCACCTGATCCCACCTCTGATGTCTTAGAGGGTTTGCTCTGCTCCTATTTTGTAATGTTTAATGGACTTTTGAACTCGAATACTGTTCGTTATCTCCACATATTTCATTACTTGTATTTCGAGTCTTTCAGAGCAAAACATGGACTTTGCCATTATAATTATATAAAAGGCGGGGATCCGGAGGGTGGGGGTATCATTTTGTGAGCTCAGTGCTCACAGTACCTCAAGTTTATGTCTGACATCTAAAAAATGTGGCGACATACACGTTTTTTTTCATGATAACTAATTTAAACCCATAAAAAATATGAGGGTAAAAGCACATAAATTAATTCATTAATTGGTTTAATAATAGAAGTGTAGATACTCTTATAATCGAATAATATTTTCGATAAAAACACAATCTTCAGAAATATCTTAATTCTTTACACCTGTGTTCATGTTAGTTCTTAACAGTGTATACATATATAACGTGATTTTATAATAGCTGGTAACTGTTTTTCACGTTTAATTAAAATTAAACAATAAAAGGACATGCATGCACTTGTTATAGTACTCCATGATGTATCGAATATAATTCAGCTGGAAAGCAGAGCGATACTTATATACATGTGTAGTCAGTGTTTTATCCCTTAATCGTGTTTTACTAAGAAAAAAAAGGGGGGGGGGTTACAGAACTTAAAGCCGTGTAAACTATTTACATGTATAAACAAATTTACATATTTTCAAATCAAATAACTTGTCAATTTTTTTTCTGCGAACATGAGTAGTGTACGTAAAATGTTTATAACTACGCTAAGTAGTGGATCCCGCACTGAGATTGTCCTGCATGTTTCAAACAGCTATACTGTTTACAAACGAATTAACATTTCTAAAAGTTGTTGAAGACATTATTCGTAAGACTATTGATTTATTATTTTCACAAAGATTTGTCCCTGTTTAAAAACATTTAAATTCGCATCTCTGTCCCTCTGGCATATTATCTGGATCCAAGAAGGTGAGTTGAAAATGCGAAAATTTTAAACCATGCTAACATGCTATTTAAGACAAAATTTGAATACATCATTATACATACATGTAGTTAGCCGCTTATAAGAATAAAGACAAAAATTGCAAGTCAGAATAAAATATCGATCTCTCAGCACGATTTTTGTTGCATCAAGAACCTGGCCCTTTTAAAGAATTGCAAACAATTTCGGGGGGGGGGGGGCAACCTAACAGTTTGTGTGGTCACTACCAAGCAAAAAATCCTTGGTCGACAAGCCAAAAAAAAAATAAAAAAAATAAAAAAATAATAATAAATAAATAAATAATAAAATAAAAAATACTTGAGGAGGCACATATATTAGTAGCTTTGCATGTTTTCTAAAGTATACCGTACATACATTGTGCCCCAACCCCCTCGATCTCCATGCAGTTCATAAGGCCATGAAGAGCTGCATGATTGTTAAAGTGTTGTTTTTTTTAAACTTAACAAATAGTTAAAATAGCATTTCATAGATCAGCCGTGAATTAACATGTATGTTTAAGAAGCACTGGTCAGCATGGTCGCCGGGGTCATGTATATACAAATTTAAAACCAAATATGTATTCCTAAAGTTATTTATTGCTTTTTATTATAAAAAATAATTATATTACTTGGTAAGCAAACATTTTGGGGGTTTGGAGGAAAAATCAATCTCACGTAGATCTAGGGCCTATATATAGGCCATTATATTTACATTCTGTTTGATTAACCCCATCAGCTGTTCATACTTCTGCTGAAGTAATAATAAAAACTTTATTTTCAATCATGCATTCCTATACAACAATTATTTAGCCACAATGAAAAGCCATGCAAGTAAAAATATTGATTTCATATTTGAAATACTTTGTTATTCTGGTCATTTAAACTTTTTGTGTACATCATATGTGTCAGGAAAGTTCTTATTATCATATGACGTCAATCAGACCGAAGGGGATATTTTCTATTGTCCATTACGAAAGTAAAAGAAATAGTTTTGTTTTATGCCCAGATAGGTAAATTTGTCTAATTATCTCCCACAAATGAAACCAGTTATAGTATACTAGTTTTTTTTAAAAACAGAATATGTAATAACCCCTTTTTATACAGCTAATATTAAGAGAGAAAAAAAAAACATTCCGAGAAAATTCGAAAGCGTTCAAATCCGATCCATTCGGTTCTCTTTCACTTCACACTTGCTCTTATTTTAGGTCTTCAGTGACAACGAACATATCTTACAAGATGTGATGATCGCCTGCATCCGTGTGTCGATATGCTCAGTGATTGAAATTTGCTTTGCAAAGGATAATGGCCACGAAAGTTGTATATTTTACCGTTGATGGAAAGCCGGAACAGGCCGAATTCAGATCGGACGACACGGCAGACGAACTAAAAGGTAAATTCCTATCGCATGGTAAATGAACTTGTCAAAAAATAAGATTTCATAAACGCTGTTTTTGTATAATCATTCTGACAGAATCTGGTAAGATTTTTTAACGCTGTCTTGTTTTGATTATGTGCAGAAAACTGAGCATGGTCAGACGTCAAATTTCGCGCACCTGCTTTATCAAGATTTGCGCTTATTTTATAAAGGGGTATTGCTGTAGGCAAAACATTTTTTCAACAAAAAGACAAAGTAAATGATATGCATGCTGAAATTAAAATGTAGACTTGCACTCAAATACTAAAGCAGTGCTCAGTGCCAATGGATCAATTCCTACAAAACCTACACGAATGGGCAGAAATATTATTCTTCTTGACAGAAAACTGTTCAACGTTCATTGACAGTTGTCATTCACTGTTCATGATTTTTAGGTTAGAAAGCCTTTTATAAGTATAAATAAATGCACTTATATATATATATATATATATATATATATATATATATATATATATATATATATATATATATATATATATATATATATATATATATATATATCTTTCATGGATATTTGGCCATAGAGAGCGCTGATTAATGTTTTTTATTACCTAAAAAATGCAGAAAAATAAATGTGTATGAAATGATAAGATTATATATGTAAAAAATAAAATAAAATGAGTGTTGAGAAAATAGAATTCCCAAATAAGAAAAACATGAAGATGGAATAGCTGACTTAATGATTAGATTAAAATATAAATTATAATTCACAAATGTTGCAATTTGTGCTGGTGTATAATAATTAAACCCATGGCCCATAAATATATATATATATATATATATATATATATATATATATATATATATATATATATATATATATATATATATAAAAGCTAATCTGGATCAATTTTAACAAGAGATTAGACACTTGAAGGATTAGTAACAAAAGACATGTACAGAAACTTAGCTTTAAGATTAAGTGATATTTGATGGACAGACAAACAGATAGATGTATCGAGAAAATATAAACAAGAACATGAATTCAATTTTACTTTCCATCAACTCTGCTGTTTGAGGTAAAACAGCTGATATACTGGTAAACAATTCGGGTTTGAGAAGATATACTTTTGTATTGATAGATCTGATAGATTGATAGATCAAACCATGCAACTTACTTGACACTATATGATTAGGACACATACTGACAGAAATGGCAAAAATGTCAATAAAAAAGACCAAACACATGTATTCATATCTCGAAATATATACATGGATGATAAGAAAATGGTGGTTATATGGAAAGTATTATAATTAACTCTTTGCATGGACTTTCTATGAAAGTAAGTTTGGTAATTTGCATTTTTGATACATATGGCTTGAAATCTTGACTAGGGGATTTGATCAATGTACAGTTTACATTTTAAATCTCAAAAAAAGGTTGTCTTGTTAAATAAGTTTTCCCCTTAAAATTGAGAAATTGGACTTTTTAAACCTGGTCACTCACCCAGAAAATATATGTTATTATTAGTCATATATATCTGCATTTCTTGATGTACAATCCATGCAAGTTTGGTCCAGTTGGAGACTCTAGAATTTGCTCCAAAAACTTAATTCTAAGCCTGGTCAATCTTCTGGAAAATACAGGTCACATATTCATTACTGCATCCAAAGAGCAGGTATTGTGCATCCCTAAATATATCACCCATGCCAGTTTTGTTCAAGGTAGGGCACACTGTTACTTGGGAATTAACCTGTAACCATACATGTGATAAGTCAAAGACCACAAAACTGTACAGGAGCCATAAAAAAACTGGAATTTGGGTGAAAAAACTGTACACTGCCTATCAAAAAACGGTACAAAATGGTATAAAATACCGCTTAAATTCTTCTGAAATTCCATCGTAATCATTGTATTTTATACCTACGAAGATCTGGGTCAGATTCACGAAACATTAACAGTAATTAAGTACCCCTTAAAAAATAAAGCTACCTAAAGGGGCATTTGATACGGATTTATAGCAAGATAATTATCCCAATTGGCAGTTCACACCTTCGCACGCGATGGTTTGTGTACACTACGCAATTATCAGAAGGTCAAGTGTCAAACACAGGTGACGTTTTCCAGTGTCTCGCGAGCGAGAATGAGAGGAAAATGGCGGCATTTAGCGAGAAATTCAAAATACTGTACAAATTTTCATATTCCGTGAATTTTGGTGTCGGACTCCCGCCGGTACAGGATGAATGGGCTCGAAAAACTGTACATTTTGCGTACAGCTGGTACATATCACATGTATGTGTAACTTCAGAAACTTGAACTGATCACTCATTGGAAATAAAAAATAGATCTGCAGCATCCAAAGTGAAGTCAGGTAAAATGCTTGACCCTAGATATATCATCTATGCAAGATTGGCCCAGACTGGACTTATACTTACTTGGAATATGGATATTCTCCAAAAACTTTAATCTTAGATGCTGATTCAAGGGAATTATAGCATAAACTCATTTTAAATTCATTGAGACAATGGTGAGTTAAGTGTTTGGAGCAGGTCCATAATCAAGCTCCAACCTTGGTTGCTGCATTTGACTTGTATTTTCTGGAAAGTGAGCAGGTTAAAAATTTGGAGCAGCTCCATTCTTAAGTAAAAAATAAGCCTTCATTTGACCCAAACTTGAAGGAATAATGCATGTAGGGATATGACATACACCACGGTCACCAGCAGACTTAGTGCTCCAGATTGAAGAATTGACCTTTATTTCCTAAATGAGTTAACAGGTCAAAGATTTTGGAGCAGGTTCATTTCCAAGTAACCATGAAGTATTTGACCAATATTGAATAAGTGATGCATACGGTAAATGTACTTATTTTTAGTTTCAGTTTTTCTGGCCCAGTTGTTCTTGAGAAGAAGATTTTTAAAGATTTTTCTTACATATTTCAATGTAAAACTTGGATTCCCTAGGGTGGGACCACAATAGGGAATCCAAGTTTTACATTGAAATATGTAAGAAAAATCTTTAAAAATCTTCTTCTCAAGAACAACTGGGCCAGAAAAACTGAAACTTATATGGAAGCATCCTCAAGTAGTGTAGATTCCAAATTGTTCAAATCATGACCCTCTGGGGTAGGGCGGAGCCACAATAGGGAATCCAAGTTTTACATTAAAATATATAGGAAAAATCTTGAAAAATCTTCTTCTCAAGAACCACTGGGCCAGAAAAGCTGAATCTTATGTGGAAGCATCCTGGGGTAGTGTAGATTCTAAATTGTTCAAATCATGACCCCCGGGGGGTAGGATGGGGTCACAATAGGGAATCCAAGTTTTACATTGAAATATATAGGAAAAATCATTAAAAATCTTCTTCTCAAGAACCACTGAACCAGAAAAGCTGAAACTTACGTGGAAGCATTCTGGAGTAGTGTAGATTCTAAATTGTTCAAATCATGACCCCCAGGGGTAGGGCGGGGCCACAATAGGTATTACAAGGGGGGAAATCTGGTAAAGAACAGCTGCATGGTCAAAGTTACTCAGGTGAGCGATGTGGCCCATGGGCCTTTTGTTTAAAATCATACTCAACTCTTCAGAAACCTCATGCATTTTCCCGCCATACGTAATCATTTGTTGAAAGAAAACTCCCAAGAGCAGCATGCAGACATCACATTTTACAATTATAGTAGAAAGGTTTCATCTACCAAGCAGTTACAAAATAAGATATTGCCTTTCCAGAATGGATGCCTAAAAAACGAAGAAATCCAAGACTAATACATTGTTTCCCTTAAGAACCTGTTACCATCCAAATTGACCGCATGAGTTTATAAGAATGCTAGTTGTTTTAAAATTAAAAAAAAAAAATCAAAATTTAATTGTTGTAAGGTCCACAGAAATTTGTTATAAATTTCAATCCAAGCCTGTTACAATTGATCTCTAACTGTTTACTTTGAAATAAAGCAAAAAACACTGCAAATATCTGTGAAGTGTCCAAGGGACTTCAATGAAATGTTTCAGTTTTTTTTTTAAACTGAAACTGAATTTAAGAGTGGTGCCTAATTCAAAAGTCTATGTTTATTTTCAAGGGTTTGGCTTGATTTCATAGCTTAAATATATCGGAGATATGAAAATCTCTTCACCCAAGAACATTAAGAAAATAAGGCGTGGCCCTCCAGGAATATGCTTTTCCTTGGGTGATTAGATCTTCATATCTCTCTCACTATCATGCAATAATGTAAAACATAATTACAGTATTGGTTGATCATCCATCAGATAGATACACTGAATTTAACGACAGTTGATACATTTTTTTTCTTCAAAAAGTATGAATTCAAAATAAGAACTCAAGTCAAATAATATGATTAAAATAAATAACCCATGTTAACTACATAGATTTTAATTTTTCAGTCAAAGTTTCAAAATAATGTGCTATAAAGTGAAAAAGATAGAGATTTATATGGATTATTGCAGAAAGGTAGAAGTTTGAACATCATAGAAAGTTTATATCATTCTTTAGAAATTTGATATTTACATCGATTCATTTACAACCAAAATATGCCCAAAAATATAAATCTAGGCATCCATTTTTTTTTTACATCGATTCATTTACAACCAAAATATGCCCAAAAATATAAATCTAGGCATCCATTTTTTTTCATCATCTGTCCATAAGCATTGTAAAGGTACCAAACTTCTGAATTAGTGTTTTGATATAATTTTTTATTTAAATTTTTAACGTCAAGGAGGGGCCATTCGTTCTATTTAAGGTGCAGCATTTCACAATCAGACAATATTGATACAGGGGGTAAATATCTGAAATCTGCTGTCTTTTGTTCTTAATTAATTCAGACAGAAGAGAAATGTCCTTGATAACTGCTTCATGTGGGGTTGTGAAAACACTGCAATCAGTTTGAGTCCTCGGGACACCCAGTTCAGGTTGTGGTATCTTGACTAACAGATACCCCCATCTTGATAATCAATGAAGAAAAGAAGATCGACCCATTTATAACAAGTCTCCAAGGCCTTTG